TTGATAGGGAGAATTTATAAAATTTTGGCTTAAGTCTTGGCCAATAGACTTAAAGAATTCCTTGAAGATCTTATTTCCTTAAACCAATTTGCCTTTGTGAAAGGGAGACAGATTGTGGACAGCATTCTAATCGCAAACGAGTGTGTGGAAGACAAAAACTCCATTGGGAATCCGGGGGTCCTAGTGAAATTAGATCTAGAGAAGGCGTATGATAAAGTGGATTGGGACTGTATCCTTGATTGCCTGAAGATGAGAGGTTTTGGTAACAGATGGATCAAGTGGATTAGTGGTTGCATTGGTTCCTCTTGGTTTTCGGTGTTGATAAATGGCGAAGCAAAAAGGCTACTGTAAGGCTAGTAGGGGTCTCAGACAAGGTTGTTCGCTCTTTCCCTCTGTTCACTTTGGTAATGGATATCTTTAACTACCTCTTCAATAAGGCAACACTCCTCAACTTGGTGAAAGTTTTCGAAGTGGGAAGGAACAAGGTTCATATCTCACATTTACAGTTTGCTGATGACATAATCTTGTTCTTGGATGCCTTCTTGAACAACATCACAAACACTAAAAGGATAACTGAATGCTTTGAAATGGTCACAGGTTTGAGGGTCAACTTCTGCAAAAGTTCTATGGTTGTTCTGAATTCAGTGGAAGTGGAACTCTTGGAGAGCTTCAAATCTTTATTGGGGTGTAAAGAGGAGAGTCTTTCTATCTCATACCTTGGGATGCCTCTTGGAGGGAATCCAAAGTCTCTCAATTTGTGGAAACCAGTGGTGGAAAAATGTGAGAAGAAACTTTCAGATTGGAAGAAATGCCATCTCTCAAAAGGGGGAAGATTTACACTCTTGAAGGCCTCTTTAGCAAATTTGCTGGTTTACTTGTCACATGCACGTCCTGACATTGCCTTCGCTGTGAGCATGGTAAGTCAATTTATGCACTCCCTGTACGAAGAACATCTTGAAGTTGTGTATCGAATTCTTAAGTATCTAAAAGGCTCACCAGGAAAAGGACTCTTCTTCAAGAAAAATGAGAAAAGAGGGGTTGAAGTGTATACAGATGCGGATTGGGCAGGCTCAATCACTGACAGAAGGTCAACTTCGGGGTACTGCACATTTCTTTGGGGCAATTTAGTTACTTGGAGAAGCAAGAAGCAAAGTGTAGTTGCTAGAAGCAGTGCTGAGGCTGAATTCAGATCAATGGCTCAAGGRGTGTGTGAGGTTCTTTGGCTAAAGAGGGTGCTAGCAGATCTTAAGAGACTAGTGAGTTTTCCTATGAAACTGTATTGTGATAACAAGGCAGTTATCAGCATTGCTCATAATCCGATTCTACATGACAGGACTAAACATGTTGAGATTGATAAACACTTTATAAAGGAGAAACTTGAAGGAGTAATTTGCACTCCGTTTGTACCAACCACGCAGCAAGTTACAGATGTTTTGACTAAGGGCTTGTTGAGACGACCATTTGAACTTCAAGTTAGCAAGTTGGGCATGATAGATATCTTTGGACCAACATGAGGGGGAGTGTCGGCAAATTAAGAAAGATAGGATTTGCGGCAAATTAAGAAAGATATGATTGATTAAGAGATTTGAATAAATTTAGGAAGGATTAGATTTGAATAAATTCAGGAAAGTCATATCCTAGGATTAAGGGAAAGATTTAGTCAATCCTTGATTGAGACAGATTCTAGGGGTTTGTCTCTCCTATCTTTTCTTATTTAAGTTGTATGCTCAATATGTTTTTATCGTAAATAAAGAAAATTTTCTTCTTCTCTCCCTCTATATTTTGCCACACATCTGTTGGTCTTTCAGCGGCCCAATTGGCATGTCAGATTCCACTAAGGCTGAAGTTTTGGCTGTCCCCACAGGAATCAGAATAATAAAAAATTTGGGAATTCAAAATGTAACCATTGCAGGTGATTCAGCCAATACTATAAAATGGTTAATAGATAAAGAGGGAGGGCCTTGGAGATTAAGTCACTATCTTGAAGAGGCCAGGGACTATTTGGACTGCCTAAATGTAAAGTTAGTTTGGATTCCAAGGGAATACAATCATACAGCAGATGGCTTAGCTAAATGTGGAGTGTTCTTAGAGCAACTTTATAGCGACAAGTTTCCTCCTTTGTAATTTACAGGGGTTCTTCCCCTGCTTTGTACATCTCCCCATGTACCTCTTTTTTATTAATGAATCTTGGTCAACTTTTCTCAAAAAAAAAAATCAGTGATATGCAAGTACAGATTCAATGGGTGCAGCATTAAGCCAACATGTCTGATACATTAGCAAAGTAAGGGGCACTCAGGAATTGATTTGGACTATTTTGTAACTTGACCAAAAAGGGGGAGAGATAACACTTTATGCTCTCCAATGTTTGTATATTTCATTGTATATTCTGTTTATAATTAACGAATGAATGATTTCTTGGTTGCTTATAAAAAAAGATTAACATCTATATGAAGATCTAATGGTGGTAACTGAGATTCATGATACATCAATACAGAGGAGGTTTGGGGTTTTTCAAAGTTTGGGAAGATGGAATGGCTTTTATGCTGTTAAAATAAAAAACAATGTAAGAGTTTTGGTCTACATCTATACACCAGTACCCAAGGTGTTGGTATGTACCATATTGATATTTTGATCTATGCTTAAATTGCATCTTAGGCCCTTTTGCCTTTTCATAGGCTAGATTTTGTATCAAGAATTAAAATTGTTTTTAGATGGATTCTTTGATCAATGAATGAACTCCTTGCTGGACAATATGGCTAGGAAAAATGTAGGGATGGAAGACTTATGTTGGGGTTTCTTGTTGTGGGTAGTACATTGTAATTTTAATACAGTGCTTGATTGCACTGATCTCTTGAGCTTTTACTGGGGTTTGTCCTTTAGTCAATGGTGGTGTTTTAAACAAGAAAACTGCAAGGGCCTTCTAGTGACTGAGGTGCAATGCACAATACCTTTTTCAAACAAGACATTTTTGAAATAAATTAAAAATAAAAAAGAAAAACGTAACACATAACAAATGTTTTTAAACGTCCATTGGCTCAAATTAAAAAACATAAGAATAACATATACAAATTATTCAAAATGAAAATGTGGAAGTAAAAGCAAACATATGTGGATTGTACCAAAGCGTTTGATGCACTTGATAATTCAAGCATGTAAAGTTTTCAATCTGTTTATTTATCTTCTAGCTAAATTACTTAAAGGAACTAGTGTAAATTGAAATATCTTGCATTCTTATCCCTAGGATATCTGCCTTTTGCCTCCATAAAGGTCCCTTGAGGCAAGCCCAAACAAGTCCATGCAGGGGTTTGGGGCAGAGCCCTAGATCTAAATTTTTGGTCCATATTATATAAAGGGTTGATTTTGTGATTTTAGTCATAGTGTGTTCTATTTCATGATTAACTGTCAGATATTAGCTGCATCATTATTTCTTGGTGGAAATTTTGCTACTTGAGATTCTATTTTCTAGAGCTAAGGCTTCAGGTATTTGAAAAGTTTTTGTTTTTATTTATTTATTTTTGAGAAAAGGTAAAGTATTTCATTAAAGAAGAGGAGAAAATACAGGAGACCTGCACAGTAAGACACTGAGCAGGAAAACAAATATGTTGCAGTTGTCAAAAAAAGTATTGTATGGAATGTTCTTGAATAATTTGTGAGAAGCCACCCAAGAATAAATTGTTCCCCAAAAAACTTTTAGCACTGAATCAACCGAATTGTATTTGTCCTCTAAAATCCTCCTGTTCCTCTCTGTCCAAACTGTCCACAGTACTGCTGGTGGAATTACTCCCCAGATGGCTTTTCCTTTTTATAGATAAGCCAGCTAGGTTCCATCTCCAAGGTAACTCCAAAAGACCTTTCAGGAAGCACAATGACACCTTGAAGCATCTCAAAGCCTTCAACCGAAGCTCCCTCGTGAACTTGCAGTGAAGAAATAAATGTTCCATGTCTCCAGAGCTTTCTCCACAGCAGGTGCAGAACACATAAGAATCTATGAAAAAAACTAAAAAAATGACATATCTAAAAAAGGTGTACACCTGGGATGAGGCACAAGGTGCAGCAGGTGCATACATTTTGAAAGGAGCTGGGTTCAGGCAAGGCACTTGCACATGCAATAAAAGTGACTCACCTATGACACTGCTCGAGGTTCTTGATTAGACCTACATTCCCTGCATTTTTAGGTAAGTTAAAGGTATGCTTTGCATGTGGTGTCACTTCAACCCCCTTTTCCCACAGAAAAATGGAAAACAAAAGAAAAGTTCTCTCCTCATATAACATTACTGAAGATTTCTCTCTGTATCATTGTCAGCTATAAATAAATTGGGGTATTTGTAACTCTTGTGATAAGTTGACTCCATGTTTAGGATGGCTTGAAGACTTGCTTTGCATGCACCTGACTGTTCTTTCCTCCCTCTCCTCCCCCCATCTCTATGTGTGTGTGTGTGCGTGCGTGTGCGCGCATGCAGTCATACTCAAACATATTCATACCAATAGATGCATTCATTTACACAAAAGCAAACTCACATGCACACACATGCAGTCATACTCAAACATACTCATTATTCATTTACACCGACAGACACATAGACCTTTATTAACAAAGATTGCCACCAAATACACCACAAAAAAACACACAAACATTAACATGCATACTATCATACCACCAAATATATGGACAACTATGTTAAAAATAAATATCAAAAGATACAGACACACTGTCCCTCCCCAGACAATGAGGGTGGGTCTTAATGCAATGGTTGGGTTGCTCCATTGTGACCTGGGTGATCATGGTGCACATCTTGGAAACAGCCTCTTGTATATGCAGGGGTAAGGCTGCATACATCCGTCCCTCCCCAGACCCTGCATTGGCAGGAGCCTTGTGCACTGGGCTGCCCTTTTATACAGACACACTGCATAGACTTCTTCTTTTTGTGATCTTATGGTAGCGTACCATTAGCTTTAGTGAACTGATTTTTAACTGTTGATTTTAAATTCTATCATAACAGGCTCGACTTCCTGAAGCCCGTGTTATTTATTGCTCAGCAACTGGTGCATCAGAACCACGTAATATGGGTTATATGGCCAGACTAGGACTCTGGGGAGCTGGAACATGTTTTCCTGAATTCCGTGATTTTCTAGGTTTGTGTTTTGTTATCTGATGCATACCATTATATTGAATTCTTACATTTTTTTTGCATTTTTTTCTTTTTGTGTTTTTGTTAATGTGGTCTCACTGGAGCTGCAGACTTGGTTAATATAGATTTAGAAGATGTGTTTTTTCTGATGGTGAACTATCTTTCTGGTAGTTTTGATTTCTTCAAATTTATTAGTTCTAGGATCTTGATAATAGAACCTATTTTTTTTCTTTTCTTTCATATTTTGTAGATTTGGGCTGGAAAATTGGATATCATGGTTGGGATGATGTGCTGTAAGCAATTGTTTAATTGCATCCAGCCTAATAGAATTCATCTGCTGTGGCTATTGTTCAAGAAGTGTTGACTTTCTGTGATGTTCATTTTCCTATTTTCTTTCCAATGGTTCATGCGTACTTCTGACTTGCTATTTATTAATAGGTTCTACTGTTGACAATTTGTGTTTTTGACGTTGCTTTTCTCTTCCATAGTATGTAAACTAGATAAATTACTTTCTCTGTCATCATGGTATCAAGTGATATATTTGCTGTTACTATATGTGTATGAATTAATGCACTTCTCCCTTCTTTTGCTATCCTGTTTCTTCAATGTCAACCAAACATGGTTTAATCATGTATAACAATTTTCTGCAGGTGCTCTTGATAAAGGTGGTGTTGGAGCACTGGAGCTTGTTGCAATGGACATGAAAGCGAGGCTAGTATATTTTAAGTATTCTTTTTGAAGAATCTGGATTACAACATGTAGTTAAGTTATTTCATCACACCTTTCAGGGGTATGTATTTATGTCGAACTCTTAGCTACAAGGGGGCTGAATTTGAAGTTGTTGAAGCTCCATTAGAAGCTGAAATGATGGTACATATTGCTCTTACTTTCTTTCCATTTTATATATACTGCTTAAATGTTGAACAGAACCTATTTCGTGTAATCTATTTTATTGTTCTTCATTTATTTCTTATGGATGGTACACATTTCTTTTACCATCTTTCCTTGTTAGGCGAATAGGTGCTACCTAGGCATCATTTAGGCCATGGATGTTGGAAATGTAGTGGGGGTATTTTTGTATTGTATAAATAAGCAACAATGTAGCATGGACACAGTTGTCTTTTTACTGTGTTTTCTCTTTATGGTTATGAGTGGGAACAAAGTCACAGTTAAGAGTCTGTACCCAATTTTCTCAAATTCTCTCTTCTTTTTCTTCAAGCTTTCTTCTTAATCTTCTTCGGGTAATAGTGCTTGACTACTTGATTTTGGAACGGTTATGAATAAAGAACAAGAAGATCCGTGTACTACTTGGTATCTGGTTCAGATATGATGCCACTTGGTGACTGGGTGATGTCAGACTCAGATCTGTATGGACCTCAAGCCATGACTTTGAGTTTCTTCTACTGTGTGATGGAAGGCTTTATTACTGGTTCCGTAAGATAATTTTACATATTTATTCTGACAAAGTTGGACATGTTTTCTGATTTTTCATAAAAGAATGGAAAAAAATCAGAAATCCATCAAATATTGAAACTGAGTATCATGGTGGAGTGGGAGTTTTTTGTGGCTTGGACTGGTAGATTTTGATCTGTTTACTTTTTATGACCTCCAGAAAGTGATTTCACATGCTTTGAGTATTTGAAATAGTTTGGCTGATACCTTAGCCAAACTATATTCAATGGGTATTAAGGTTGAGAAATAGTTTGGCTGTTAGATACCTTCGACAAAAAAGAGGGGTGAAATATAAATTGGAAACTGAGGTGGTTGGTTTTAATTTTTGAATGGTGGATGTTCAAGATTGATTGAGATTATTTGGTGCAGGGGTAGTTGATAAAGGGGGTGATGAGGTGAATGCATAACAGACCTTTGAGAATAATGCAGTATTGGAGTTAGTTACCTAATATAGGTTCTTGAGAAGATTCCCAATGCAGTTTTAGAAATCAGAAAAAAAAATCATTGAACTATTCAGGTTTCAAAAGTTTTCACCAAATTAAATAGTGTCTGACCTAATAAAAGGTGAAGAAATCAAAGAAGGCCTGTATGAGAAGTAAAGAAGTTGCCGTTCAGGCCACTGGAGGAGCTGTGTAGTTGAGTAAGGTGTTTGTGTGCTTTTAGTTTGGATCTTATTTTTTAGATAATTTGTTTTTAGAGTTGGATGGTTGAATTCCAAATGTGTTTTGGTTGTTTGGCTAATTGTATGGGTTTGGTTGGATGTTTTGGAGATTTTTTTTTCTTTTTCTTTTCCTTTTTTTGGAGAGTTTGGTTTGGTTCTGATGAGAGGGTTTGGAGTCTGGTTTTCAGTGGGTGAAGGGTTGTTTTCTTTCTTCTCTTGGGTGACTTCAGGTCACTTTCTAATCTCTTTTTTCTTTTAATAAATTTTTGTTTTACTATAAAAGACAATATATTATTTATTTATTTTGTCAATATCACTTTTATTATAAATTTCAATATTCCATTCTGCTATTCAGCAAAATATAATTAAAATCATGAATTTGTGTCTAGCAAGAATTCAAACAATTAAGTAATGAAACGAATTACAAGCATAAATAATCAAAGTGATTAAGTATTACAACAGATTTAATTCAAGCAAGGAAGTATTGGAAAGAAGTTCCAAGCAAACATGTGATGGTGGTATATTAACTTCATGACCTTTGTTACAGTTAAACTGATACTCATATTCTTTAATGACCTTAAATAATGTGCATTGGACACCAATTGATGCAGGGCCAACTAAGATTCCTATGCCTAGTTCAATTGGGCAGGCTCCAACGTTCTTCAAGGTGCTGTACAAATCCCCTTCTTTGGGAAGTGTGCCACACCACCAAACATACTAAGTTTGATAGCTACAGGGGAGCTTAGTCTTGCACTTGCTTTTGTGTTTAGTTATTTATTTATTTTTTATGGCCAGAGTATTACCAAGGAGATATGGCACCACTTTATTTTGGTATACCTCAATATCTGTGCTCCATGGGCTTATTTCTCAAACTGAGATTGATTTCCAATCCATTATGGATAAGGTGGCGAGTGGAGTCATTTGTACCCCTTCATGTGATAAAATGATCACTGATCAAATTGCAAATATATTTTATTGAAGGAAATTGTCAGAGGGTATATTTATTCAGATGTTGACTATCTATGGGTTGTAGTGAGTCTATTCTTCTGCTTGAAGGTAGCACATGTTATTTTTATTTTAACCATGTCTATTGGTTTAGCTTGGTTTTCGTGGATTATTTTTCTTATGTGCTTTGCCATGTGCTGTAGGTTGTAGTATAATTCATTATTTACTCTAAACAACAATATTAGTCTTCCTAAGGCTCAGAATCCTTTACAATGGTGGGCTATTCACTATGCTTTAAGGCAAGCTCCTGATTTTGGGATTAGCAAAGTTTGACTTTAGTGAATAATCTGCCTGGGGGGGGTGAAGAAGAACATGGGAGGCTTCGTGGAGAAAGTGGAGGAAGGTTTCGTGGAGAAAGTAAAATGGAGGTCAGCTCTGAGGATAGAGGCCAAAGAGTTACTCTTCGAAGAGATACAAATAAAAGGAAGAATGGGTTTGAAAGTAAGAGAACAGAAGAGAGCCACGATCCTTGTGGAAGGCTCAGAAATGATTTAGTGGGTGAAAGAGTTTGTCTCTGATGCAGTTGCTAAAGGGAAGCAGAAATATCGGAAAGAAA